AATCGATGATTGCGGGTGTCGCAAGCCTTTAATAAAATCGAATAAAGCCAGTGGATGAATGAACCGAGTTATTCGTAGCTAACTGAACTCCATTTTGCAAAACTTTTCCTCACAAAAGCTTCTCAACACATCACCGACCACTCGGTTGGTACGTTCTATTTGCCCATCGGTATACAGGTGTACCGCTGTGGGCATATCCACGCCAATGCTAAGAATTCGGAACAATTCTTTCCAAGAATCACTCGTAATTCGTGTATCATGATCAGAGACGATGGCGCCTGGCAACCCGTGATTGCGAAAATTATGATTAATGAACAATTTGGCCGAACTTTTGGCATCGATGTAATTGCTGCACGGAGCGATACAAACCATCTTGCTGAGTCTGTCAACAATGATGAGTACGTCATTGTGTCCATCAGCATTTTTGGGGAAGCCAAAAATAAGGTCGAGACCGACTGACTTCCAGCAGTCACTAGGATCAGGAATATTGTGCAGTGGAACTTGCGTGTGCCGTACGCTCTTCACGCGCTGATGGAAATCGCATGTCCTTACGCATCGTGCTATCCACTTGTACTTGTATAGCCACCCAAACTGGGTACTGAGATCCTACTAAGTCATCGCGCCTCGCGCACTACTTGTGGGGAATTACAATCCGTGGTTTGTCATCATGTGCAACTTCATAGTGAAGGAGAATATTCTTATATGCAAAACGATGCAACCTTGATTTCAAGCTACCCAAAAGCCTGTCATGAAATTTCAAATTACTCAATGACAGTGCTCTTATGATCATGTCACACTTTTCGTCCTGCATACGCTCGACGTATCATATCAAATATATCGCTTTCGATATAGCTAATACAAGCTAGCTCATAATCAGGATGCTGGAACAAAGCGTCTACCAGCACGTTCAGCTTCCCTGGCTTGTACGCAACCGTGAAGTTGTGTTCTGCGAATAATGACAATCAGGAGCCATTTGCTGCGACAAGTGAGGTGACTGAATTGAAAGCGCAAGTCCGAGTAGACGACAGACAACTTCATACACGGGACAGGTTCCATTACAAATGTTGTGTGTACCACATACTCTGTCTGTATGACATTTACTGTCCACCCTGTATAACTGAATATCCCCTTATAGCTCTGTTGTATCAGAACTGGCGGTACTTATCGGGTTAGGGGGGGACTAAAGCCTATTGGCTATAATAAAAATGTTACCTCATATTTCTATCTATCTACATGAGTCAACGCAGCCACTTCATCAAATTTACGTTGGAAAATATGCTCTATACAATCTACCACAACATTGATCATTCGAGCATCGGCTCACAGGCCATGTATTCCAACAAAGGTATAGAAAGGTATCGGTATCAAATACACACTCGTCCACATTGGCAGACAGCTTATTCAAGTACTTCATTTTCAAAGTGTTTGGTGCGGGGACCCCATTCGTTTCGACTATGCACGATTTGTCGGAATGTTTGCGCATCGCCACGAAGTGGTATATATACCCGCGTTACCAGACTTGTAAGTCGGAATGTACTCACCAGTTCTGTGGCAAATTACCAGCCCCTTCAAAATCATCCTCTCGTTCTATCACCTCAGATCAGAGAATTTCGTCGTCTCGTTGTCACACCATCTTGTGTGACCCACCCCTTCATTCCAGGATACGTGTAACTTAATTATAGTCCATTTCATCACTTGATATTTATCATTCTGACTGAATAGTCGATGCTGAGTTTAAATTTACTCTCTGTCTCACAAGAGTCACCTTTTTTCTCATGACAAAATTTAACACAGATGCAGTACACTTCTTATATCATTGTGACGCTCCCCTTATTGGGTGGCAACTCGCGTTTAATCTCATGCCATTCCTATACAGAAATGTCTTAACAAAAGAAGGTAGACTCTGATAAGTGTCCGAATCCTCAACTCTGTACTCAGTGATAATTTCACCATGGCAAATGATAATCTTATCCGTACCAGACATCATTTTGGCGACTTCAGCCTATTGCAGTGTTTGCACATACCTCGTGCTTTAGCTGCGAAAGAGCATCTGCCAGAGGTCAAGAGGGAAGACTTACAACCCCTTAGTCACCCCGTTTACAAGTGAAAATTATTTCTCGTCATCAATCCGTAGCTTTTTGATGCTCCGCATGGTAAACGGTAGAGCTGACTCAGCAATCCCGTTTAATCATTTTACTTGCGGCTTTTCAGGTGCCCTTCAACTTCACTGATAAAGGCACGTAGTACTACAACACCCAGCCGCTACTGCTCTACACCGGGCCTGGTATTGAAATCAGCAGTTCACAGCTGCTCTTTACCTTCCACTATGAGGAACAAGAGACATGATCCTTTCCCGCAATCGCAGCTTACTGCTACGTCTGCACCTTGCAATACATATATAGATTTCAATTCTGGACAATTTTGTACCTCGCACAGATTCTAGTACAGCTTCAAGCCCGCACAATTTTTTTCTGCTTTTTGGCAGAGGTGGGTTCATGACTCGACAAAGCTCTACTAAGAGCGGCATCTAAATGTCTCTGATTTCAAAATGATACAAGGCTCATGTTTTGACAAACGTATCATGACATCGTACCTCGATATCAGGTTAAGGACGAGACAATGTTCCACGCTGTTACATCCTTCAAAATTTGCTTGAAGGCTATGCATTACTTTCGAATATTATATAACTGTCCCGTCGCAATATGTCTGGTCGAACATCTTACCACAGTTGGACATCGTCAATATTACGCGTTCTATCCTGACAGTCGTATGTTGTAACGGCGTCACTTGATCTAGCAGGCTTCACATCGCTGGCGACGTTGATGATAACAACCAGCAACTCTAAACTGTGAGCCCCTATTATCTTAGAGAAGCTCTCGTATTGGACAGGCTCAATTCACCACGACCATCACTAGGTACAATAGAAGCCAACTTGATCCTGATAGACCGACCTGCATTTTTAGATCACAAAATATCATCGCTAGGAGTTTCTTGGATGCGAGTCTGACGCTTTGTACGTCTCAACTGAGAGTAAAGGGGGTATGATAGCGTCTCTAATGCATTCGTTTTCTTTGATCATGCGTCGTACAGCAAAAAAGTCGCCTCATCTTCCATCAAAGATGTGTTTATCAATCTAATGATGATATTACCCCTTTTCTTAGACAGATAAAGCGTGGTAAAGTTCCCCCTTCTACAACGCACAGGTTGCATCTTTACTTCAGGTGCAGAGCAAAAACCTTTGGATGCCGTTTGCCACCAAGGGTATTCTTCTACTTTCCGAATATATGATTTCAGATTAAATCCATCTTATAACTTTGAATGTATACATAATTTTTGCTTGATTTCATAACAAAGTTATCGTAATTGTTTGAGTAGAACTAACATACCACATGTCCCACTAATCTCTCCTTCGCAGACCTTACATATTTATAAATTCCACTTTGGTTCTTCTGCATATTTATAGTTACACAAAGGTGTAAATTTGTACAATTTCGCAGAAGTATATAATGTAAGGTGGTGATGCTGTATATACACAACAATACAGTATATAAATCAAACGCCCTTAACCATAAAATATAGACTACAGAGTTCACGCTTTTTACATCTTTGAGAAGCACTAATCTAAAGCAAGCGCGGAACAAGCATTTGCAGCGTTCAGAATTTCACTTAACTCTCGCATGTGTAGTGCCTTCTCTGGAAGCACTTAAACAAAATTTTCAGGAGAAACTGATAAAATCCATAATCCTTGCTACCAATGATCTTCCAGCCATACTAAAAGGGGGAGAAAGTTTTTTTTGGAACTGTTGTGACGACTCAACAAGTCCTGACTTTTCATCTCTGTTTTCGCTTACAAAACGTAAACCAGGCTGTTCATCAAGAAATAGGCGGTGTTTATCAACGATCTCGATCTGGCCGGGACGCTAACAAGATTTCTTGCAAGCGCAAGAGTCACATGACCTCGTCAAGTTAATTACTTTATGATTTATTCAAAGTTGCTTCTTTACACGCCTATGGGTCTTTACCCCTATATGAGACAAAACAAGAACCAAAAGGATGCTGAGCAATCGCTTTCAGAGCGTCTCAGTCTTTGCACTCCAAAAAAAACCTACTCTCAGTGCGGTGGTGGTTCAAGCTCTCAATGATGATGTACATGGCGAGACCACTTAAGCGTGCCAGGCTCAACCCTTGCACTGCGGAAGTGTGCCCAGAACGTTTACATCGATTTTAGCTGAAAGGATGTGCAATAAACTAACGAAAATATTCATGATCGCCTGTAACGGTAATTGCCCGTCCGTGTACACAGACTTCTTAAGAAAGGCTTAGGTCAACTGACGCCTCACCGCGTGTTGCTCGCTTCCTGTGGACCGTTGACCTACGTAGAATGAAGGAAAGAAGATGTCACTTCATCATTATAGCCAATAGGCTTTTAGCCTACCTAACCTGATAGATACTTCCAATTCTGATACAACAGAGTTGAAAGGGGATATATAACTATACACAGGATGTCCAATTGATGTCAGACACAAAGTATGTGGTTCACATAACATGTGAAATGGGACAGGCCCTATTACACTGTGAATATGCCCAATTTCTATAAAAATTCTAAAGGTCTTCTTCCAATTCTTGCTCACGCTCTTTATATTACTCTGTCAAACTCTTGCTAGACTGAAGCCTCACACGCTTTCTCCACATGAGATCTTCGTCACGATCGAACTTGGATAAACCTCGTCATTCAGTTCGTTTGCGCTATCGTGAGCTTGAACATTACGACGACTATCACGAAGGACGTGGTGGGCCCACCCGAGCGTTTGACGCAATCATTAGCTAAATATGTGCTCGATTGATGACGCAAGTAGCGTATTTTCGCACAATCAGGCTGACCACTCGAGCTGGAGGCGAGCGATACTGCGTGATTTTATCAAACAATGCGTGGGGTAAAATTTAGATTTTTGGAAATATCGCCAGCATTCAGTTTTAAAAAATACATCTCATGAAGGGTAATGGTTCACCCGACTGCCGCTGCTCTAGTACTCCTGTTAATCCATATTGGACCAGAAAGCGCTCGCGGAGAGTTTTTTTACGCTCGGTCTGGAAGTGAGCTCAATTCACACACAATTAAGCATGTGCGGACTCCACTCCTGCGCGGTGTGCGGGTTTGGGTATGAATACAAGCTTTACAGTTATGTACTTTGTGCCAAATATAAAATATTGCAAACTGTGTCAGTAGCGCTGAAGGTGCTGTAATAGGTTGTCTGGTTCAATCAGGAAGAACCTGCTGCACTTTCTCCTCCATGTTAACTGCAAGTTCTCTGGATTTGTCGATCAATTTCCGAAGCAATTTCGTTGCAAAATTTAAATTTGACATTACAATGCTCTCCTCATTTCTCCAAAAGCTTGGAATACTAAGCTAACTATTGTGTTCGTTCTATTCTGCACAAATATCGCATGAATTCATATGGCTATATCCGCATCATGGCGAGAGTGGGAGTCAGTACCTTACACTTCTTACAAACTTGATAGTACAATTTTGTGTAATCGTACAAATTTGAAAAATACAATATTGCGTGTTTGTACAAGTTTTACCTACGGTATTGTGTCGTTGTGAGTTCACAAGTATTGTCACTCAATTTTGATAATACAAATCCAGAGGAAGAGGATTTTGTTCGCGTGAGTTGTTAGGCCCACATCAAGCATTACAGAAAGTTTCTACTGCTGGATATCAAAACGCCTCTATATTTAGTGTCAATCTAAATAAAATGGTATCATCAAGAATCAAAAGCTTGGAATAACATAGCAACTCATTTCCTATTACCTTTTAGACTCTCGGTTCGGCTCTTGATGAAAGCGTTTTGAACACGAAGCCTTCGAGTCAAATATGTGCAAATGCACAGCGAAACCGTCGTACTGCTCATAGCAAAAATACGCTGTCGCTTGTACAGGATAAAACACTAGTGTTTTACCTGCGAGCAAAGCCTTCGGTTAAGTTGGCTGACTGCGAGCTGTTATTCTTGGCATTTAATCAAATCTGACGAGTGATGGCGAAACGGCGAAGAACATATGACAAATGTAGCGATCCATTGCAAAAACATTGTGTGCAATCGATTTTACATACAATAACATGCCACCAACACTATACATTTCTCCGTTTATCAAAAGATGTGATTTTGTTGGAGATAACAAGACCGATATTAGTGGGCAATCAGCAGCTAGAAATAGAAGTGATAGGATTTCAGCTCGTTTTGTTTTGTATTTCGCAAAGTAAAGCACTGAGAGACAATTCTAGCCAGACATTGGTTTGCTAAGGCTGTCAGAAGTATTTAGCGATGCATTGTTCTCCTCCGTGGGTGTACCCTACTTTGGTTAACACACATCATCCTTCTGATGCAGGGCAAAGTGGAAACACCATAGACTGCTACAGAAGGTACTTCGTAAAGTTTAGATCGATGGAACACGTGGGCGATAGCACATCACTCACACTTTCTATATTTTAAGACATTGCACAATAGTATTCACGGTTCCCGAATTCTCTTCCTGACTTTGCATCACACAATGCCTGCAGCTACGAGCATTATCAAAAGTAATATCCCTAGCGCCAGGTCCCAATATGAAACCTCTATTGCCGACGCCCCATAAATCCTGGAAGGCGGACAGTATATTGTCCGTGAAAGCTGTCGCACTGAGTAGGACTAATATCGCTGCTCTCATCAAGATACATACGTCCTCCAAATCCCAAGTACGAACCTCTGCCCTCGCCCAGAGACAGATATGTACACTTTAGGAGCTAGTCAATTTAGCGCGGGTGGGTGTGATGGGGTCAGTCCTGTTACGCATGTTATATGAGCCACATACTTGCGTGATAAACATTAACTATATATACTGCGTTGGTATATATATGACATTACATTTACGCCTTGAGTACACCATACACACTTGGCTGGGGTAAAGAGGGCCTGTGTTGTTAGGGTTGTACTGTAACTTTGTGTATTTAGACTTTTCATACATTCGTATCCAATCAATACTTTACCCAAGTGTCATAATATATGAATATGATAAGACTCAGTAAGGTAGAAGTCATATTCACACAGGCGGCTAGCTACATGTCAGATTACAAAGACTTTCTCATATAATCAGTTTGGATAGCATTTATTATGATATAAAGTATTGAAACTACAAAGCTGACAAGTCACTAATTACTTTGTAAAATCTTAGCTTCTCTACTAGTTAAGACATGTGAATTTAACCTTTATCATTGAAAACGCTCGGATTTTTTTGTCAAGCTTCCTCTCTGCTACGTGCACTGCAATTCCGTTGAATACGGGCTCTCATGCAAGGTCGCCCGACAGAGCCCATTCGGGGATTGCCTACACACAACTTGCGCAGACAATCCTAACTGTGAAAGAACTGAGGTATATTCGACTTCGTGGCGAAAAGTTTTCTTCAATGTAGAGATTCTTTTCTAAAAAAGGTAGGGCTTACAGTCAAGGTCCGTCGGCTATCAGCATCAACGCCCAAGCTTGATAGAGCCATTTAATGGGTGATAGATTCAAGACCATCGTGCGATTAAAAAGGAAACGCAACTGTTGAGAATATCGGACGACAAAATATCCGCGCAGCTTGCAACGGGGATACTAGCAAAAATGCCACATGATTTCTTACTCTAACGTGGGGCTTAAAGGAGTTTGATAGCGCGTACCGTTGACTCTTTCTGCACCTATACTCGAGATTTGATCGCATCATAAAAGGTCACCGACCTTAGCCAAACTTCCTCTAAGCAAAAGTGCTACGGCAGCTCCGCTGCATGTAGAGTTCTGGCTATCTTATCCGTGAGTGGAAGAATAGATCGATATCGGCTATGCCACCTGCTAGTGAGTGTATAAACCGCGCAATCCCACGTATACACGACGCTGTGTTGGCTCATGCTGACGATGGATGCGAGGAAGACCTGCAGCTTTTGGCTGCTTTGATCGAGTAACATGTACCGCTCAAACACTGCGAGTAGGTACTAGGCATTGCAGCATCCAAATCGCGGTCTGTTGTACTCAAAATTGATGTATTTGACCAAAAATATGCTGCATGACGTAGAGACTAAGGACTCATTTGCATCCTCTTTGACGCGAAATTTGGAGACGTTGGAATACAGCCAGAATATGCCATTTTTATCGCCTATTTTTTGCCAAATTATAATATACAGATGCTAAATAGGACGCATTGGTGGATGCTTAGAATAAAGAGATTCGCTGTAAAGTGGAGAATGAAGACGCAACTTTGCTTTTTGATAGTGTGGCAGATGCAGTGCGTGGCACGTTGCTCATCAACAAGCTTGTACGCGATGAATCCAGTCTGGGATTGTGGAAAAAGATATGTGTTTTTTGTTTATAGTCGTAAATTTATAGGAATTTACGTGCGTTAGCGTGATATTGCGCGTGGTGGATTATATATGGTGAACCCAAGTTTGATGGATGCTCACGCTCATGAAATTGCACCGCAGTACAGTGAAGCTGATGGCATTTACGCAACAACTCAAGAACAAGGATATACCTGAAAAAGGCTCGAGAGCCGACCCGATGGGGATGTAGCGCCATAGAAGCTTAATGCTTACCACAAGACAAATCTTGTTATTGATCACTCAATGAAGGGGGAATTGAACACTTGACGCGGAGATCAATGTTATGGAAATGCACTTTGACAAATGGCAGTTGTGATAAAACTCCAAAATATATCATTCCGATTGATGAAGAAAACATAATAGTTGACGAGCTTCCGGCGGCACGAAGAGGTTAGCGCCCAACACGATCAGCCTGTTAAGGGTTTGTTTTCACAATCGAGAAATTCACGCCAGTTGTTTTTATCAGTGGTGTCTGGATGACCACCCGCAGGTATGAACAGATCGCTCTTGACACGATCGTGCGGCGCACGAATTCCTTCCTG